TATTTGTAGATTTTTGTAACGGGGATAAGGATAATTCAAAACTGCTTTTTTTGAATGAACTTGTTCTCTACTCCCAAACTCAGCATCTCTTTTCATTCCTGTAATAAGAAGTTTCTTTTGAATGGATTTGATTCAACTTTAAGTCCCTCGGTATAAAATAAATATTTTAATGGAGATGAGAAATCTGCTTCCTCGTTGGTGAATAAGCAATAGTTTGGATCCAATCATTTAAATAAACGGTGTTAGTTTTTTTTTTTTTTGAGATATTTATATATATTTATAGATATTTTTTAGATAATATCTGACGAAATTGTTTTTAGAAGCATTTTTTTTAAAGAATCATAAATGCAACGATAAACATATTTAATTAATTTTAGTGCCAATTAAGGCCTTGATTAAAAAAAGAATTATGAATTGTAATTATTTTTAATGATCCGCGGAAACCCTGGTTTATCTCGCGCATGCCCTCTACGATCTCCAAGGAACTCAGAGCGGAGGGGACGGAGCAACAGCGGCGGCTGTAGGCTTTGCTTTGTGCAGGCGGTCTGGAGCGCAGCGGGGCGGAGCGGAGCGCAGACGGAGTATGTGGGATTTCGGGGTTAGCTTTAGCATTAGCAGTGGGAGTTATGCTAACAGCTAGCAATCATGCTAACTGGAAGGTCGTTGTTGATCTTTCTTGTTTAGAGAAGACAGGTTATTTGTTTATTAACCTGTAAATGAAGCATTAGCTTTAGCACTTGCAGTAGGAGTGACGCTAGCAGCTAGCTATCATGCTAACTGGAAGGTCGTTGTTGATCTCTCTTGTTTAGAGCGGACAGGTTATTTGTTTATAAACCTGTAAATGAAGCATTAGCTTTAGCATTAGCAGTAGGTGAGATGCTAGCACCAAGCTAGCATGCTAACTGGAAGGTCGTTGTTGATATGTCTTGTTTAGAGCAGACAGGTTATTTGTTTATAAACCTGTAAATAAAGCATTAGCTTTAGCATAAGCAGTAGGTGAGATGCTAGCACCAAGCTAGCATGCTAACTGGAAGGTCGTTGTTGGTATGTCTTGTATAGAGCAGACAGGTTATTTGTTTATTAACCTGTAAATGAAGCATTAGCTTTAGCATTAGCAGTGTGAGTGATGCTAGCAGCTAGCTACCATGATAACTGGAAGGTCATTGTTGATATGTCTTGTTTAGAGCAGAAAGGTTATTTGTTTATAAACCTGTAAATAAAGCATTAGCTTTAGCATTAGCAGTAGGTGAGATGCTAGCACCAAGCTAGCATGCTAACTGGAAGGTCGTTGTTGATATGTCTTGTATAGAGCAGACAGGTTATTTGTTTATAATCCTGTAAATGAAGCATTAGCTTCAGTATTAGCAGTAGGAGTGATGCTAGCAGCTAGCTACCATGCTAACTGGAAGGTCGTTTTTGATATGCCTTTTTTAGAGCACACAGGTTATTTGTTTATAAACCTGTAAATGAAGCATTAGCTTTAGCATTAGCATTGGGAGTGATGCTAAGCAGCTAGCCACTATGCTAACCGGAAGGTCGTTGTTGATATATCTTGTTTGGAGCAGACAGGTTATTTTTTTATAAACCTGTAAATGAAGCATTAGCTTTAGCATTAGCAGTAGGTGAGATGCTAGCACCAAGCTAGCATGCTAACTGGAAGGTCGTTGTTGATCTCTCTTGTTTAGAGCAGACAGGTTGTTTTTATAAACCTGTAAATGAAGCATTAGCTTTAGCATTAGCAGTAGGAGTGATGCTAGCAGCTAGCTACCATGATAACTGGAAGGTCATTGTTGATATGTCTTGTTTAGAGCAGAAAGGTTATTTGTTTATAAACCTGTAAATGAAGCATTAGCTTTAGCATTAGCAGTAGGTGAGATGCTAGCACCAAGCTAGCATGCTAACTGGAAGGTCGTTGTTGATATGTCTTGTATAGAGCAGACAGGTTATTTGTTTATAATCCTGTAAATGAAGCATTAGCTTCAGTATTAGCAGTAGGAGTGATGCTAGCAGCTAGCTACCATGCTAACTGGAAGGTCGTTTTTGATATGTCTTGTTTAGAGCAGACAGGTTATTTGTTTATAAACCTGTAAATGAAGCATTAGCTTTAGCATTAGCAGTGGGAGTGATGCTAAGCAGCTAGCCAGTATGCTAACCGGAAGGTCGTTGTTGATATATCTTGTTTGGAGCAGACAGGTTATTTTTTTATAAACCTGTAAATGAAGCATTAGCTTTAGCATTAGCAGTAGGTGAGTTGCTAGCACCAAGCTAGCATGCTAACTGGAAGGTCGTTGTTGATCTCTCTTGTTTAGAGCAGACAGGTTGTTTTTATAAACCTGTAAATGAAGCATTAGCTTTAGCATTAGCAGTAGGAGTGATGCTAGCAGCTAGCTACCATGCTAACTGGAAGGTCGTTGTTGATGTCTTGTTTAGAGCAGACAGGTTATTTGTTTATAAACCTATAAATGAAGCATTAGCTTTAGCATTAGCTATAGGAGTGATGCTAGCAGCTAGCTAGCATGCTAACAGGAAGGTCGTTGTTGATCTCTCTTGTTTAGAGCAGACAGGTTATTTGTTTATAAACCTGTAAATGAAGCATTAGCATTAGCAGTGGGAGTTATGCTAACAGCTAGCTATCATGCTAACTGGAAGGTCGTTGTTGATCTCTCATTTAGAGCAGACATGTTATTTGTTTATAAACCTGTAAATGAAGCATTAGCTTTAGCATTAGCAGTAGGTGAGATGCTAGCACCAAGCTAGCATGCTAACTGGAAGGTCATTGTTGATATGTCTTGTTTAGAGCAGACAGGTTGTTTGTTTATAAACCTGTAAATGAAGCATTAGCTTTAGCATTAGCAGTAGGTGAGATGCTAGCACCAAGCTAGCATGCTAACTGGAAGGTCGTTGTTGATATGTCTTGTTTAGAGCAGACAGGTTGTTTTTATAAACCCGTAAATAAAGCATTAGCTTTAGCATTAGCAGTGTGAGTGTTGCTACCAGCTAGCTACCATGCTAACTGGAAGGTTATTGTTTATCTGTCTTGTTTAGAGCAGACCGGTTATTTGTTTATTTACTTGTAAATTAATTATTAGCTTTAGCATTAGCAGTGGGAGTGACGCTAGCAGCTAGCTACCATGCTAACTGGAAGGTCATTGTTTATCTGTCTTGTTTAGAGCAGACCGGTTATTTGTTTATTTACTTGTAAATTAATTATTAGCTTTAGCATTAGCAGTGGGAGTGACGCTAGCAGCTAGCTACCATGCTAACTGGAAGGTCATTGTTGATCTCTCATTTAGAGCAGACAGGTTATAAACCTGTAAATGAAGCATTAGCTTTAGCAGTATGTGAGAAACTAGCACCAAGCTAGCATGCTAACTGGAAGGTTGTTGTTGATATGTCTTGTTTAGAGCAAACAGGTTGTTTTTATAAACCTGTAAATGAAGCTTTAGCATTAGCAGTAGGAGTGACGCTAGCAGCTAGCTACCATGCTAACTGGAAGGTCATTGTTTATCTGTCTTGTTTAGAGCAGAGCGGTTATTTGTTTATTTACTTGTAAATTAATTATTAGCTTTAGCATTAGCAGTGGGAGTGACGCTAGCAGCTAGCTACCATGCTAACTGGAAGGTCATTGTTGATCTCTCATTTAGAGCAGACAGGTTATAAACCTGTAAATGAAGCATTAGCTTTAGCAGTATGTGAGAAACTAGCACCAAGCTAGCATGCTAACTGGAAGGTTGTTGTCGATATGTCTTGTTTAGAGCAGACAGGTTATTTGTTTATAAACCTGTAAATGAAGCATTAGCTTTAGCATTAGCAGTAGGAGTGATGCTATCAGCTAGCTACCATGCTAACTGGAAGGTCAATGTTGATCTGTCTTGTTTGGAGCAGACAGGTTATTTGTTTATAAACCTGCAAATGAAGCATTAGCTTTAGCATTAGCAGTGTGAGTGATGCTACCAGCTAGCTACCATGCTAACTGGAAGGTCCTTGTTGATATGTCTTGTTTAGAGCAGACAAGTTGTTTTTATAAACCTGTAAATGAAGCTTTAGCATTAGCAGTAGGAGTGACGCTAGCAGCTAGCTACCATGCTAACTGGAAGGTTTTTGTCGATATGTCTTGTTTAGAGCAGACAGGTTATTTGTTTATAAACCTGTAAATGAAGCATTAGCTTTAGCATTAGCAGTAGGAGTGATGCTATCAGCTAGCTACCATGCTAACTGGAAGGTCAATGTTGATCTGTCTTGTTTGGAGCAGACAGGTTATTTGTTTATAAACCTGCAAATGAAGCATTAGCTTTAGTATTAGAGTAGGAGTGACGCTAGCAGCTAGCTATCATGCTAACTGGAAGGTTGTTGTTGATCTCTCTTTTTTAGAGCAGACAGGTTATTTGTTTATAAACCTGTAAATGAAGCATTAGCTTTAGCATTAGCAGTAGGAGTGATGCTAGCAGCTAGCTACCATGTTAGCTGGAAGGTAATTGTTGATCTGTCTTGTTTAGAGCAGACAGGTTATTTGTTTATAATCCTGTAAATGAAGCATTAGCTTTAGTATCAGCAGTAGGAGTGATGCTAGCAGCTAGCTACCATGCTAACTGGAAGGTCGTTTTTGATATGTCTTGTTTAGAGCAGACAGGTTATTTGTTTATAAACCTGTAAATGAAGCATTAGCTTTAGCATTAGCAGTAGGTGAGATGCTCGCACCAAGCTAGCATGCTAACTGGAAGGTCGTTGTTGATATGTGTTGTTTAGAGCAGACAGGTTGTTTTTATAAACCTGTAAATAAAGCATTAGCTTTAGCATTAGCAGTGTGAGTGTTGCTACCAGCTAGCTACCATGCGAACTGGAAGGTCGTTGTTGATATGTCTTGTTTAGAGCAGACAGGTTATTTGTTTATAAACCCGAAAATGAAGCATTAGCTTTAGTATTAGCAGTAGGTGAGAAACTCAGTGAATGCTTTCCATCTGTGCCTCCTCATAGTGTGTTGTTGTTGTTGTGTAATGCAGGTGCCAGTGCTCCCCAGAATGGTCTGGGACCCTCTGCACCGAGCGTTACGATGACTGCAGGAATGGAGGACAGGACCTGTGTGTTCACGGCTTGTGCATCGATGCGGACCGGCTGATAGCTGGACAGGTATGGAGGTCTAAGCAGTTCAACTCCCGGGACCAGGCGGTCAGTTAGTGCTCTGTGCTACTATGGAGAGTCTCAGTCTGACTGTTTCTTTCAATTAACAGCCCAGATTCCAGTGCATCTGTGAGAGTGGATGGGAGGCTCCTGCTGGGAACCCAGCATGTGTGGCTGATGTGGATGAGTGTAACCTAGCAAACAAGCCATGCTCCACCAACCCCCTTGTTCCCTGCTTCAACACTCAGGGCTCTTTCTACTGCGGGAACTGTCCTTCTGGTAAACCCACAAAACCAGCTTCTTCCTGGATTGACTGCTTTCTGATGATCAGCTTAATGTTGCACATTAAAACACAGACAGGATCAAAAAGAGGGAAACATCAAGGAAAAAACCAACAGCATGATGGAGGAAACCAGAAAGGTTTAGGATTAAAATGAACTAACAAAGCTTAATGTCACCATCATGGGGACACATCACCATCATGCATCACCATCATGGGGATGCATCACCATCATGGGGAGACATCACCATCATGAGGATGCATCACCATCATTGGGACGCATCACCATCATGAGGATGCATCACCATCATGAGGATGTATCACCTTCATGGGGACGCATCACCATCATGGGAATGCATCACCACAATGGGGATGTATCAATATCATGGGGACACATCACCATCATGGGGACGCATCACCATCATGGAGACACATCACCACAATGGGAATGGATCACCATCATGCATCACCATCATGGCGACGCATCACCATCATAGGGACACATCACCAAAATGGGGATGCATCACCATCATGGTGACACATCACCAAAATGGGGATGCATCAGCATCATGGGAATGTATCACCATCATGGGGATGTATCACCATCGTGGTGACACATCACCAAAATGGGGATGCATCACCATGATGGTGATACATTCCCATGATGGTGATGTGTCCCCATGATGGTGATGAATCCCCATTGTGGTTATGCATCCCCATGATGGTGATGCGTCCCCATGATGGTGATGCATGATGGTGATCCATTCCCATTGTGGTGATGTGTCACCATCATGGTGACACATCACCATCATGGGAATGTATCACCATCATGGGGATGCATCACCATCATGGTGACACATGACCAAAATGGGGATGCATCACCATCATGGTGACACATCACCACAATGGGAATGGATCACCATCATGCATCACCATCATGGGGACGCATCACCATCATGGGGATTCATCGCCATCATGGGGACGCATCACCATCATGGGGACACATCACCATAATGGGGATGCATCACCATCATGCATCGGCATCATGGGGACGCATCACCATCATGGGGACGCATCACCATCATGGAGACGCATCACCATCATGGGGATTCATCGCCATCATGGGGACGCATCACCATCATGGGGACACATCACCATAATGGGGATGCATCACCATCATGCATCACCATCATGGGGACGCATCACCATCATGGGGATGCATAACCACAATGGGGATTCATCACCATCATGGGGACACATCACCACAATGGGGATGGATCACCATCATGCATCACCATCATGGGGACGCATCACCATCATGGGGATGCATAACCACAATGGGGATGCATCACCATCATGGGGACGCATCACCATCATGGGAATGCATAACCACAATGGGGATGCATCACTGTCATGGGGACACATCACCAAAATGGGGATGCATAACCACAATGGGGATGCATCACTGTCATGGGGACACATCACCATCATGGGGATGCATCACCAAGAGGGAAACATCAAGGAACAAACCAACAGCATGATGGAGGAAACCAGAAAGGTTTAGGATTAAAATGAACTAACAAAGCTTAATGTCACCATCATGGGGACACATCACCATCATGCATCACCATCATGGGGATGCATCACCATCATGGGGAGACATCACCATCATGAGGATGCATCACCATCATTGGGACGCATCACCATCATGAGGATGCATCACCATCATGAGGATGTATCACCTTCATGGGGACGCATCACCATCATGGGAATGCATCACCACAATGGGGATGTATCAATATCATGGGGACACATCACCATCATGGGGACGCATCACCATCATGGAGACACATCACCACAATGGGAATGGATCACCATCATGCATCACCATCATGAGGATGTATCACCTTCATGGGGACGCATCACCATCATGGGAATGCATCACCACAATGGGGATGTATCAATATCATGGGGACACATCACCATCATGGGGACGCATCACCATCATGGAGACACATCACCACAATGGGAATGGATCACCATCATGCATCACCATCATGAGGATGTATCACCTTCATGGGGACGCATCACCATCATGGGAATGCATCACCACAATGGGGATGTATCAATATCATGGGGACACATCACCATCATGGGGACGCATCACCATCATGGAGACACATCACCACAATGGGAATGGATCACCATCATGCATCACCATCATGGGGACGCATCACCATCATGGGGACACATTACCAAAATGGGGATGCATCACCATCATGGTGACACATCACCACAATGGGGATGCATCACCATCATGGGAATGTATCACCATCATGGGGATGTATCACCATCATGGTGACACATCACCAAAATGGGGATGCATCACCATCATGGTGACACATCACCATCATGGGAATGTATCACCATCATGGGGATGCATCACCATCATGGTGACACATCACCAAAATGGGGATGCATCACCATCGTGGTGACACATCACCATCATGGGAATGTATCACCATCATGGGGATGTATCACCATCATGGGGACGCATCACCATCATGGGGATGCATCACCATCATGGAGACACATCACCACAATGGGAATGGATCACCATCATGCATCACCATCATGGGGACGCATCACCATCATGGGGACGCATCACCATCATGGGGATGCATAACCACAATGGGGATTCATCACCATCATGGGGACACATCACCAAAATGGGGATGCATTACCATCATGGTGACACATCACCATCATGGGAATGTATAACCATCATGGGGACGCATCACCATCATGGGGACACATCACCATAATGGGGATGCATCACCATCATGCATCACCATCATGGGCACGCATCACCATCATGGGGATGCATAACCACAATGGGGATTCATCACCGTCAGTGGGACACATCACCACAATGGGGATGGATCACCATCATGCATCACCATCATGGGGACGCATCACCATCATGGGGATGCATAACCACAATGGGGATTCATCACCATCATGGGGACACATCACCACAATGGGGATTCATCACCATCATGGGGATGCATAACCACAATGGGGATTCATCACCATCATGGGGACACATCACCACAATGGGGATGGATCACCATCATGCATCACCATCATGGGGACGCATCACCATCATGGGGATGCATAACCACAATGCGGATTCATCACCGTCATGGGGACACATCACCACAATGGGGATGGATCACCATCATGCATCACCATCATGGGGACGCATCACCATCATGGGGATGCATAACCACAATGGGGATGCATCACCATCATGGGGACACATCACCAAAATGGGGATGCATCACCATCATGGGGATGCATAACAACAATGGGGATGCATCACCATCATGGGGACACATCACCATCATGGGAATGCATCACCACAATGGGGATGCATCACCTTCATGGGGACACATCACCATCATGGGAATGCATCACCATCATGGGGATGTATCACCATCATGGGGACACATCACCACCATGGGAATGCATCACCATCATGGGGACACATCACCATCATGGGAATGCATCACCATCATGGGAATGCATCACCATCATGGGGATGCATCACTATCATGGGGACACATCACCATCATGGGAATGCATCACCATCATGGGGATGTATCACCATCATGGGGACACATCACCACCATGGGAATGCATCACCACAAAAGGGATGCATCACCTTCATGGGGACACATCACCAAAATGGGGATGCATCACCATCATGGGGATGCATCACCTTCATGGGGACACATCACCATCATGGGAATGCATCACCATCATGGGGACACATCACCATCATGGGAATGCATCACCATCATGGGGACACATCACCATCATGGGAATGCATCACCATCATGGGAATGCATCACCATCATGGGGATGCATCACTATCATGGGGACACATCACCATCATGGGGATGTATCACCATCATGGGGACGCATCACCATCATGGGGACGCATCACTAGCATGGGTACACATCACCATCATGGGAATACATCACCATCATAGGGATGCATCACCATCATGGGAATACATCACCATCATGGGGACGCATCACTAGCATGGGTACACATCACCATCATGGGAATACATCACCATCATAGGGATGCATCACCATCATGGGAATACATCACCATCATAGGGATGCATCACCATCATGGGAATACATCACCATCATAGGGATGCATCACCATCATGGGGATGTATCACCGTCATGGGGACGCATCACCATCATGAGGATGCATCACCATCATGGGGACACATCACCATCATGGGAATGCATCACCATCATAGGGATGTATCACCATCATGGGGACACATCACCATCATGGGAATGCATCACCATCATAGGGATGTATCACCATCATGGGGACACATCACCATCATGGGAATGTATCACCATCATGGGGACACATCACCAGCATGGGAATGCATCACCATCATGGGGATGTATCATCATCATGGGGATGCATCACCAGCATGGGAATGCATCACCATCATGCATCACCATCATGGGGACACATCACCATCATGGGGACGCATCACCAGCATGAGAATGCATCTAAAATAATCTTCCTCATTCACCGTTTCCAGGTTGGCAGGGAAACGGCTACAGCTGTCAAGATGTGGATGAATGTTTGACCAACAATGGCGGCTGCTCCTCTGCTCCAATGGTTCAGTGCCTGAATACTATGGGCTCCTTCCACTGTGGGTCCTGCCCTCCAGGTATGTTGCAGTGGTAGATCTATATAGATGTACAGATAAATGACCATGGATGGCAGACAGGACCTCTATGACCCATCATTACTGAATGTCGTTATTTTGAAAAAAAGACATGAACCGTGATGTTTTCTTTGCTCAGGCTATGAGGGGGATGGGAGAACATGCACCCAGGCTAATATCTGCTCTTCCAACAATGGAGGATGTCATCCTTTAGCCACCTGCACATCCACCACAGGTGAAATCTCTGATTCTAGGACAGTCTTTGTCATTTAACCTGGCTGCAGAGAGAAAACAGAAGGACATCCAGCATCAGTCCAACGCCTCATGGAATAAATCAGCAGGTTTTTTAGATGACTGATTAAGCATAGAGCAAAGTTAACCAGAGTTCTCTGTTCTGCTCCTAAACATGTACCAGGTTCATCCTTCCCTACATGCACATGCCCAGAAGGCTACACCGGCAATGGCTATGGTCCCAGCGGCTGCACCCACATCAGCAACATCTGTCAGACTAACAACCCCTGTGTGAACGGACAGTGTACGGTAAGACTGCAGCACAGACACCTGTTCTTCCCTCTGACACCACCAAGGCTTTAAGCTCACTGATAACTGATAGTTATGCTGCCATCTGCTGGCCTGAAGACCCATTGCAAGTTTTATTTTATAGAAACAGTTCAAATATAAATCCAGTATAATTCAGGAACTCATGTGGATCCATTAGAGGTTCAAAGCCGAGAAACAAACAATGTCTGATTACTTACAAATGACAGGATTTGATTAATTTAATTAATGGGTTCCTCTCACCTGGACTCCACTAGGAAATTTAACAGCTTTATAAAAGCCAGCCTCTTAAATGAAATATTACAGCAAATAAACAACAGGACACTTTTAAAGTGAGGTTTGAAATTCTATCTTCATACAGTTTTGGGTATTTAAACATTCATTTGTACAAACATGAAGAAATATCGTCATGCAAGTTAACAGAGAAATCACAAAGCTGCTGCTTTAATACTTTGCTCTCTGCTGCCATTGCCTAATCTCTTTCACCAGAGAGAACTCCTAAAGGTCACACAGACCTTCATAGCACCTCAGGAGGCTAACATGTTACCTTCAAATGTTGGGGACAATGTCTGCTTCCTGGATGGATGGGCTCCATGAGAAGGACAAGGGTTTGGTCAGGGTCAGGGTTTGACCAGGTAGATCGATGGACGGGGTCCCTGAGAAGGACAAGGGTTGGGTCAGGGTTTGACAAGGTAGATCGATGGACGGGGTCCCTTAGAAGGACAAGGGTTTGGTCAGGGTCAGGGTTTGACCAGGTAGATCGATGGACGGGGTCCCTTAGAAGGACAAGGGTTTGGTCAGGGTCAGGGTTTGACCAGGTAGATCGATGGACGGGGTCCCTTAGAAGGACAAGGGTTTGGTCAGGGTCAGGGTTTGACCAGGTAGATCGATGGACGGGGTCCCTTAGAAGGACAAGGGTTTGGTCAGGGTCAGGGTTAGACCATGCAGCTCGATGAACGGGGTCCCTGAGAAGGACAAGGGTTGGGTCAGGGTTTGACAAGGTAGATCGATGGACGGGGTCCTTAAGAAGGACAAGGGTTGGGTCAGGGTTATACCAGGTAGATCGATGGACGGGGTCCCTAAGAAGGACAAGGGTTGGGTCAGAGTTATACCAGGTAGATCGATGGACGGGGTCCCTGAGAAGGACAAGGGTTTGGTCAGGGTTATACCATGCAGCTCGATGGACGGGGTCCCTGAGAAGGACAAGGGTTGGGTCAGGGTTAGACCAGGTAGATCGATGGACGGGGTCCCTAAGAAGGACAAGGGTTGGGTCAGAGTTAGACCAGGTAGATCGATGGACGGGGTCCCTAAGAAGGACAAGGGTTGCGTCAGGGTTAGACCAGGTAGATCGATGGACGGGGTCCCTAAGAAGGACAAGGGTTGGGTCAGGGTTAGACCAGGTAGATCGATGGACGGGTTCCCTGAGAAGGACAAGGGTTGGGTCAGGGTTAGACCAGGTAGATCGATGGACGGGGTCCCTAAGAAGGACAAGGGTTGGGTCAGGGTTAGACCAGGTAGATCGATGGACGGGGTCCCTGAGAAGGACAAGGGTTGGGTCAGGGTTAGACCAGGTAGATCGATGGACGGGGTCCCTAAGAAGGACAAGGGTTGGGTCAGGGTTAGACCAGGTAGATCGATGGACGGGGTCCCTAAGAAGGACAAGGGTTGGGTCAGGGTTAGACCAGGTAGATCGATGGACGGGTTCCCTGAGAAGGACAAGGGTTGGGTCAGAGTTAGACCAAGCAGCTCGATGGACGGGGTCCCTGAGAAGGACAAGGGTTGGGTCAGAGTTAGACCAAGCAGCTCGATGGACGGGGTCCCTGAGAAGGACAAGGGTTGGGTCAGAGTTAGACCAAGCAGCTCGATGGACGGGGTCCCTGAGAAGGACAAGGGTTGGGTCAGGGTTAGACCAAGCAGCTCGATGGACGGGGTCCCTGAGAAGGACAAGGGTTGGGTCAGGGTCAGAGTTAGACCAGGTAGGTCGTTATAGCGGCAGCAATTGGGCCCAGCTGTTCTGTGGGCCGTTAAGACCTTGGTAGTTCTCATCTGCTTCAGTAGGTGGGTTCACAGAATGTGGCGTTCAATCTGGGTTAGAATGCAGGAAAAACCAGACACTACGTTAAGCTCTTTAAGAATCGTAGGCAGCAACTAGTCTGAGTCGGCCAGTGAACACAGAGCGGCTTGTGTTCCTTCCTTTCGAGGCCTGACAGTTACAGCCAAGAGACAGTTGAGTTGGTATCGGCTGGTTGAAGCGGCTGTGGCAGGGATTTGACATCAGGGAGAATCGCTCTTGGTCATCTTTGATGTTTGATCTTGAACAGCTTCAACCCCTATCAGGATGCCGTCGGCTTATTCAGGTTTCCGAAGGAGTCTCTTCCAAAGTGAGTGAAGCAGGTCAGATGAGATGGGGATAAGTTGGAGCCCTCTATGGTGTCGCTGCTGTGCTTGGAAAATGTTGAGAAGGACATGATTTTTATTTTCTTCCCTTGGTTGTTCAGTAAAGCATTAATGTTAGCTAATGCTAACATTGGGAGAGAGAACATTTGCGGCAGACACAGTTGTTCCAGGTGACGATCCAAACCTAATCATAAGCTTCCGTAGTACCGCGGTCAGTGCCTGGCTTCATGGCTCTGCATGTTTTATAGGTCCCTGGTTTTAACAGAAGGTTCAGGGGACTTGATGCTGTTTTTAATAAAGGTGGTGGTGGTGGTGGTGGGGGGGGTTCACATTGTCTTTGGGCTGGAAACAGGTGGATCTGAAAACGCTGGCAGTGAGGATGCTCGCTTCAGAATGTAATAGATCATTTCTAGGAGCGGTGGAGGGTTTATTGAAAAATCATTGAAACTATCATATCCTGATTTCTATTTATATACTAATAACTGCTTCTATGATCTATAGCAGACATGTAGCAGCAAAGTCTGCCTGTCGTGCTGCGGTCATATTAGCATCACACTCTGACTTTGCAGGCTAGATCCGCTCTGGATGGTTCTGACTCAATGTCCCTCAGCATCACTACCCTCTCCTGTGTTTGAAGGAGCTGATGGTTCAACCAAACCAGCTGATTCTAGAGTAGATGTTCTGGAAAATCATCATTGTTTCTATGCATCTCCATTATAGCATGCTAAGTTTGATTCCTAATAAGTCAGAACCAGCTGGGTTGTCCTGCTGCAGGATTTTAATTCTAAATTACATGAACTAAATATGTTGTCATTAAAAGCAAATAGAAGCTTTTAGAAGCACTAATAATACAGTCCAGGTTAGAAGAATGAAATCTGAAATGTATTTAAAGCTAAAGGGTGTAAAATGATGTCTGTGTGTTTCAGAGCACTTCCTCGGGCTACATCTGCCACTGCAGCCCTGGATGGGACGGTCTTCACTGTGACCACAACATCAACGAATGCTCAAGCAACCCTTGTCAAAATGGGGGAACCTGCACTGATGGTGTTAACGGGTTCACCTGTAACTGTACCGCCCAGTGGACCGGCGCCTTCTGCCAGACCCCGCAGCAAGGTACAAACCATTAGAAGCAGAGAGAATTCAGCAACATCTATCCATTGATCTGGTCTGAACGTTAATGATCGTCTTAGCTCCATGTTTTCATCTTCTATCCATTGATGTGGTCTGAATGTTAATGATCGTCTTAGCTCCGTGTTTTCATCTTCTATCCATTGATCTGGTCTGAATGTTAATGATCGTCTTAGCTCCATGTTTTCATCTTCTATCCATTGATGTGGTCTGAATGTTAATGATCGTTTTAGCTCCGTGTTTTCATCTTCTATCCATTGATCTGGTCTGAATGTTAATGATCGTTTTAGCTCCATGTTTTCATCTTCTATCCATTGATCTGGTCTGAATGTTAATGATCGTTTTAACTCCATGTTTTCATCTTCTATCCATTGATCTGGTCTGAATGTTAATGATCGTTTTAACTCCATGTTTTCATCTTCTATCCATTGATCTGGTCTGAATGTTAATGATCGTTTTAACTCCATGTTTTCGTCTTCTATCCATTGATCTGGTCTGAATGTTAATGATCGTTTTAACTCCGTGTTTTCATCTTCTATCCATTGATCTGGTCTGAATGTTAATGATCGTTTTAACTCCATGTTTTCATCTTCTATCCATTGATCTGGTCTGAATGTTAATGATCGTTTTAACTCCGTGTTTTCATCTTCTATCCATTGATCTGGTCTGAATGTTAATGATCGTTTTAACTCCGTGTTTTCGTCTTCTATCCATTGATCTGGTCTGAATGTTAATGATCGTTTTAACTCCATGTTTTCGTCTTCTATCCATTGATCTGGTCTGAATGTTAATGATCGTTTTAGCTCCATGTTTTCGTCTTCTATCCATTGATCTGGTCTGAATGTTAATGATCGTTTTAGCTCCATGTTTTCATCTTCTATCCATTGATCTAGTCTGAATGTTAATGATCGTTTTAGCTCCATGTTTTCGTCTTCTATCCATTGATCTGGTCTGAATGTTAATGATCGTTTTAGCTCCATGTTTTCATCTTCTATCCATTGATCTGGTCTGAATGTTAATGATCGTTTTAACTCCATGTTTTCATCTTCTATCCATTGATCTGGTCTGAATGTTAATGATCGTTTTAACTCCGTGTTTTCATCTTCTATCCATTGATGTGGTCTGAATGTTAATGATCGTTTTAACTCCATGTTTTCATCTTCTATCCATTGATGTGGTCTGAATGTTAATGATCGTTTTAACTCCGTGTTTTCATCTTCTATCCATTGATGTGGTCTGAATTTTAATGATCGTTTTAACTCCGTGTTTTCATCTTCTATCCATTGATCTGGTCTGAATGTTAATGATCGTTTTAACTCCATGTTTTCGTCTTCTATCCATTGATCTGGTCTGAATGTTAATGATCGTTTTAACTCCATGTTTTCATCTTTTATCCATTGATCTGGTCTGAATGTTAATGATCGTTTTAACTCCGTGTTTTCATCTTCTATCCATTGATCTGGTCTGAATGTTAATGATCGTTTTAACTCCATGTTTTCATCTTCTATCCATTGATCTGGTCTGAATGTTAATGATCGTTTTAACTCCATGTTTTCGTCTTCTCTCCATTGATCTGGTCTGAATGTTAATGATCGTTTTAACTCCGTGTTTTCATCTTCTATCCATTGATGTGGTCTGAATGTTAATGATCGTTTTAACTCCGTGTTTTCATCTTCTATCCATTGATCTGGTCTGAATGTTAATGATCGTTTTAACTCCATGTTTTCGTCTTCTATCCATTGATCTGGTCTGAATGTTAATGATCGCTTTAACTCCATGTTTTCGTCTTCTATCCATTGATCTGGTCTGTACGTTAATGATCGTCTTAGCTCCATGTTTTCATCTTCTATCCATTGATCTGGTCTGAATGTTAATGATCGTTTTAACTCCATGTTTTCATCTTCTATCCATTGATCTGGTCTGAATGTTAATGATCGTTTTAACTCCATGTTTTCGTCTTCTATCCATTGATCTGGTCTGAATGTTAATGATCGTTTTAACTCCATGTTTTCGTCTTCTATCCATTGATCTGGTCTGAATGTTAATGATCGTTTTAACTCCATTTTTTTATCTTCTATCAGTTGATCTGGTCTGAATGTTAATGATCGTTTTAACTCCATGTTTTCGTCTTCTATCCATTGATCTAGTCTGAATGTTAATGATCATCTTAGCTCCATGTTTTCGTCTTCTATCCATTGATCTGGTCTGAATGTTAATGATCGTTTTAACTCCATGTTTTCATCTTCTATCCATTGATCTGGTCTGAATGTTAATGATCGTTTTAACTCCATGTTTTCGTCTTCTATCCATTGATCTGGTCTGAATGTTAATGATCATTTTAACTCCGTGTTTTCATCTTCTATCCATTGATCTGGTCTGAATGTTAATGATCATTTTAACTCCACGTTTTCATCTTCTATCCATTGATCTGGTCTGAATGTTAATGATCGTTTTAACTCCATGTTTTCGTCTTCTATCCATTGATCTGGTCTGAATGTTAATGATCGTTTTAACTCCATGTTTTTGTCTTCTATCCATTGATCTGGTCTGAATGTTAATGATAGTTTTAACTCCATGTTTTCGTCTTCTATCCATTGATCTAGTCTGAATGTTAATGATCGTCTTAGCTCCATGTTTTCATCTTCTATCCATTGATCTGGTCTGAATGTTAATGATCATTTTAACTCCATGTTTTCGTCTTCTATCCATTGATCTGGTCTGAATGTTAATGATCGTTTTAACTCCATGTTTTCATCTTCTATCCATTGATCTGGTCTGAATGTTAATGATCGTTTTAACTCCGTGTTTCCATCTTCTATCCATTGATGTGGTCTGAATGTTAATGATCGTTTTAACTCCGTGTTTTCATCTTCTATCCATTGATGTGGTCTGAATGTTAATGATCGTTTTAACTCTGTGTTTTCATCTTCTATCCATTGATCTGGTCTGAATGTTAATGATCGTTTTAACTCCATGTTTTCATCTTCTATCCATTGATCTGGTCTGAATGTTAATGATCGTTTTAACTCCATGTTTTCATCTTCTATCCATTGATCTGGTCTGAATGTTAATGATCGTTTTAACTCCATGTTTTCGTCTTCTATCCATTGATCTGGTCTGAATGTTAATGATCGTTTTAACTCCATGTTTTCGTCTTCTATCCATTGATCTGGTCTGTACGTTAATGATCGTCTTAGCTCCATGTTTTCATCTTCTATCCATTGATCTGGTCTGAATGTTAATGATCGTTTTAGCTCCATGTTTTCATCTTCTATCCATTGATCTGGTCTGAATGTTAATGATCGTTTTAGCTCCATGTTTTCATCTTCTATCCATTGATCTGGTCTGAATGTTAATGATCGTTTTAACTCCATGTTTTCATCTTCTATCCATTGATCTGGTCTGAATGTTAATGATCGTTTTAACTCCATGTTTTCATCTTCTATCCATTGATCTGGTCTGAATGTTAATGATCGTTTTAACTCCATGTTTTCATCTTCTATCCATTGATGTGGTCTGAATGTTAATGATCGTTTTAGCTCCATGTTTTCATCTTCTATCCATTGATCTGGTCTGAATGTTAATGATCGTTTTAACTCCATGTTTTCATCTTCTATCCATTGATCTGGTCTGAATGTTAATGATCGTTTTAACTCCATGTTTTCATCTTCTATCCATTGATCTGGTCTGAATGTTAATGATCGTTTTAACTCCATGTTTTCATCTTCTATCCATTGATCTGGTCTGAATGTTAACGATCGTTTTAACTCCATGTTTTCGTATTCTATCCATTGATCTGGTCTGAATGTTAATGATCGTTTTAGCTCCATGTTTTCGTCTTCTATCCATTGATCTAGTCTGAATGTTAATGATCGTTTTAGCTCCATGTTTTCATCTTCTATCCATTGATCTGGTCTGAATGTTAACGATCGTTTTAACTCCATGTTTTCGTCTTCTATCCATTGATCTGGTCTGAATGTTAATGATCGTTTTAACTCCATGTTTTCGTCTTCTATCCATTGATCTGGTCTGAATGTTAACGATCGTTTTAACTCCATGTTTTCGTCTTCTATCCATTGATCTGGTCTGAATGTTAATGATCGTTTTAGCTCCATGTTTTCGTCTTCTATACATTGATCTAGTCTGAATGTTAATGATCGTTTTAGCTCCATGTTTTCGTCTTCTATCCATTGATCTGGTCTGAATGTTAATGATCGTTTTAACTCCATGTTTTCATCTTCTATCCATTGATCTGGTCTGAATGTTAATGATCGTTTTAGCTTCATGTTTTCGTCTTCTATCCATTGATCTGGTCTGAATGTTAATGATCGTTTTAGCTCCATGTTTTCGTCTTCTATCCATTGATCTGGTCTGAATGTTAATGATCGTTTTAACTCCATGTTTTCGTCTTCTATCCATTGATCTGGTCTGAATGTTAATGATCGTTTTAACTACATGTTTTCGTCTTCTATCCATTGATCTGGTCTGAATGTTAATGATCGTTTTAACTCCATGTTTTCTTCTTCTATCCATTGATCTGGTCTGAATGTTAATGATCGTTTTAACTCCATGTTTTCATCTTCTATCCATTGATCTGGTCTGAATGTTAATGATCGTTTTAACTCCATGTTTTCATCTTCTATCCATTGATCTGTTCTGATGATGTTGGGCAGAGTGTGGAGGTCAGCTGACTGGTCCGGCCGGCTCCTTCAGTTATCCCAACAACCCGGGTCATGATGAGTATGATCACATGGTCAGCTGTACCTGGGTGATCCGTACTGATCCCAGTCAGGTCAGGCTACCGTCTGCTTTGAACATGAACACATTGATCCAACCTGAGATTAAAACCCTTCCTCTCCTCTGCAGGTTCTGAGGATCACCTTCCCGTTCTTTGACCTGGAGAGCAGCACCAACTGCAACTTCGACTTCCTGCAGGTCCATGATGGAGACAGTCCCTCCGCCTACGTGCTGGGAAAGTACTGCGGCCAGAACAATCCGCAGGAGCTGCACAGCTCCCACAATTCTCTCTACTTCTGGTTCCGCTCTGACCAGTCCATCAAAGCTGGCGGCTTCACGGTGGTCTGGGAGTCTCAGGACCCAGGTAGCTGGAGGGGGCGGGGCATTTCTCCTTAGAGCCGTTTATAGTCAGAATGCTGGCTGTCTGATAAAACCTCTAAAATAGAGAGACATGAACATCAAACAATGTGTCCTCCCAGTGTGCGGCGGAGAGCTCACTGCTTCCTATGGAAACATCAATTCACCTGGTTACCCTGGAAACTACCCACCTGGACGGGACTGCTACTGGACAGTCACCGTGGACCCTGGCCTGCTCATCACGTTTGCATTTGGGACGCTAAGCCTGGAGCACCACGCTGACTGCAACTATGACTTCCTGGAGGTACCAGCAGCGCCGCCTGGGCTTAGAAATAGAGAATGTAGAAGCTGCTCAGCTGGGCGAATGACTGTAGAATTAGGGATCATAGAAGCTGCTCAGCTGGTTGATTGACTGTAGAATTAGGTAACATAGAAGCTGCTCAGCTGGTTGATTGATTGTAGAATTAGGTAACATAGAAGCTGCTCAGCTGGTTGATTGATTGTAGAATTAGGTAACATAGAAGCTGCTCAGCTGGTTGATTGATTGTAGAATTAGGTAACATAGAAGCTGCTCAGCTGGTTGATTGACTGTAGAATTAGGTAACATAGAAGCTGCTCAGCTGGTTGATTGACTGTAGAATTAGGTAACATAGAAGCTGCTCAGCTGGTTGATTGACTGTAGAATTAGGTAACATAGAAGCTGCTCAGCTGGTTGATTGACTGTAGATGTAGAGATTCTAGAAGCTGCTCGGTCTTTTTGTGCTTCTCCGTCTCAGTCGGTCGGTCTGGTGAATCTTTCAGATCAGGGACGGCCTCCTAGGAGAAGATCCAGTTCTGGGGAAATACTGCAACACTGCATCGCCCCCCCCTCTGCAGACCACTGGCCCAGCTGCATGGATCCACTTCCACTCAGACCTCACTGTGTCTGACAGAGGCTTCCACATCACCTACACCACGTCTCCAAGTAAGCAGCTGTCAAGGTAAACCCTCTGGTCCTGGATTATCCTGGACCAGCTTCCAGCAGCTCACTGCACTCTGGTCCTGGATTATCCTGGACCAGCTTCCAGCAGCTCACTGCACTCTGGTCCTGGATTATCCTGGACCAGCTTCCAGCAGCTCTCTGCGCTCTGGTCCTGGATTATCCTGGACCAGCTTCCAGCAGCTCACTGCACTCTGGTCCTGGATTAGCCTGGACCAGCTTCCAGCAGCTCTCTGCGCTCTGGTCCTGGATTATCCTGGACCAGCTTCCAGCAGCTCACTGCGCTCTGGTCCTGGATTATCCTGGACCAGCTTCCAGCAGCTCTCTACGCTCTGGTCCTGGTCCGGGATTAGCCTGGACCAGCTTCCAGCAGCTCTCTGCGCTCTGGTCCTGGATTATCCTGGACCAGCTTCCAGCAGCTCTCTGCGCTCTGGTCCTGGATTATCCTGGACCAGCTTCCAGCAGCTCTCTGCGCTCTGGTCCTGGATTAGCCTGGACCAGCTTCCAGCAGCTCTCTGCGCTCTGGTCCTGGATTAGCCTGGACCAGCTTCCAGCAGCTCTCTGCGCTCTGGTCCTGGATTAGCCTGGACCAGCTTCCAGCAGCTCACTGCGCTCTGGTCCTGGATTATCCTGGACCAGCTTCCAGCAGCTCACTGCACTCTGGTCCTGGATTAGCCTGGACCAGCTTCCAGCAGCTCTCTGCGCTCTGGTCCTGGATTATCCTGGACCAGCTTCCAGCAGCTCACTGCACTCTGGTCCTGGATTAGCCTGGACCAGCTTCCAGCAGCTCTCTGCGCTCTGGTCCTGGATTATCCTGGACCAGCTTCCAGCAGCTCACTGCGCTCTGGTCCTGGATTATCCTGGACCAGCTTCCAGCAGCTCTCTACGCTCTGGTCCTGGTCCGGGATTAGCCTGGACCAGCTTCCAGCAGCTCTCTGCGCTCTGGTCCTGGATTATCCTGGACCAGCTTCCAGCAGCTCTCTGCGCTCTGGTCCTGGATTATCCTGGACCAGCTTCCAGCAGCTCTCTGCGCTCTGGTCCTGGATTAGCCTGGACCAGCTTCCAGCAGCTCTCTGCGCTCTGGTCCTGGATTAGCCTGGACCAGCTTCCAGCAGCTCTCTGCGCTCTGGTCCTGGATTATCCTGGACCAGCTTCCAGCAGCTCACTGCGCTCAGGTCCTGGATTATCCTGGACCAGCTTCCAGCAGCTCACTGCGCTCTGGTCCTGGATTAGCCTGGACCAGCTTCCAGCAGCTCTCTGCGCTCAGGTCCTGGATTATCCTGGACCAGCTTCCAGCAGCTCACTGCGCTCTGGTCCTGGATTAGCCTGGACCAGCTTCCAGCAGCTCTCTGCGCTCAGGTCCTGGATTATCCTGGACCAGCTTCCAGCAGCTCACTGCGCTCTGGTCCTGGATTAGCCTGGACCAGCTTCCAGCAGCTCTCTGCGCTCTGGTCCTGGATTATCCTGGACCAGCTTCCAGCAGCTCACTGCACTCTGGTCCTGGATTATCCTGGACCAGCTTCCAGCAGCTCTCTGCGCTCTGGTCCTGGTCCGGGATTAGCCTGGACCAGCTTCCAGCAGCTCTCTGCGCTCTGGTCCTGGATTAGCCTGGACCAGCTTCCAGCAGCTCTCTGCGCTCTGGTCCTGGATTATCCTGGACCAGCTTCCAGCAGCTCACTGCGCTCTAGTCCTGGATTATCCTGGACCAGCTTCCAGCAGCTCTCTACGCTCTGGTCCTGGTCCGGGATTAGCCTGGACCAGCTTCCAGCAGCTCTCTGCGCTCTGGTCCTGGATTATCCTGGACCAGCTTCCAGCAGCTCACTGCGCTCTGGTCCTGGATTAGCCTGGACCAGCTTCCAGCAGCTCTCTGCACTCTGGTCCTGGATTAGCCTGGACCAGCTTCCAGCAGCTCTCTGCGCTCTGGTCCTGGATTAGCCTGGACCAGCTTCCAGCAGCTCTCTGCGCTCTGGTCCTGGATTATCCTGGACCAGCTTCCAGCAGCTCACTGCTCTCTGGTCCTGGATTATCCTGGACCAGCTTCCAGCAGCTCACTGCGCTCTGGTCCTGGATTAGCCTGGACCAGCTTCCAGCAGCTCTCTGCGCTCAGGTCCTGGATTATCCTGGACCAGCTTCCAGCAGCTCACTGCGCTCTGGTCCTGGATTATCCTGGACCAGCTTCCAGCAGCTCTCTGCACTCTGGTCCTGGATTAGCCTGGACCAGCTTCCAGCAGCTCACTGCGCTCTAGTCCTGGATTATCCTGGACCAGCTTCCAGCAGCTCTCTGCGCTCTGGTCCTGGATTATCCTGGACCAGCTTCCAGCAGCTCACTGCACTCTGGTCCTGGATTAGCCTGGACCAGCTTCCAGCAGCTCTCTGCGCTCTGGTCCTGGATTATCCTGGACCAGCTTCCAGCAGCTCACTGCGCTCTGGTCCTGGATTATCCTGGACCAGCTTCCAGCAGCTCTCTACGCTCTGGTCCTGGTCCGGGATTAGCCTGGACCAGCTTCCAGCAGCTCTCTGCGCTCTGGTCCTGGATTATCCTGGACCAGCTTCCAGCAGCTCACTGCGCTCTGGTCCTGGATTAGCCTGGACCAGCTTCCAGCAGCTCTCTGCACTCTGGTCCTGGATTAGCCTGGACCAGCTTCCAGCAGCTCTCTGCGCTCTGGTCCTGGATTATCCTGGACCAGCTTCCAGCAGCTCACTGCGCTCTGGTCCTGGATTATCCTGGACCAGCTTCCAGCAGCTCACTGCGCTCTGGTCCTGGATTAGCCTGGACCAGCTTCCAGCAGCTCTCTGCGCTCAGGTCCTGGATTATCCTGGACCAGCTTCCAGCAGCTCACTGCGCTCTGGTCCTGGATTAGCCTGGACCAGCTTCCAGCAGCTCTCTGCGCTCTGGTCCTGGATTATCCTGGACCAGCTTCCAGCAGCTCACTGCACTCTGGTCCTGGATTAGCCTGGACCAGCTTCCAGCAGCTCTCTGCGCTCTGGTCCTGGATTATCCTGGACCAGCTTCCAGCAGCTCACTGCGCTCTGGTCCTGGATTATCCTGGACCAGCTTCCAGCAGCTCTCTACGCTCTGGTCCTGGTCCGGGATTAGCCTGGACCAGCTTCCAGCAGCTCTCTGCGCTCTGGTCCTGGATTATCCTGGACCAGCTTCCAGCAGCTCACTGCGCTCTGGTCCTGGATTAGCCTGGACCAGCTTCCAGCAGCTCTCTGCGCTCTGGTCCTGGATTAGCCTGGACCAGCTTCCAGCAGCTCTCTGCGCTCTGGTCCTGGATTAGCCTGGACCAGCTTCCAGCAGCTCTCTGCGCTCTGGTCCTGGATTAGCCTGGACCAGCTTCCAGCAGCTCTCTGCGCTCTGGTCCTGGATTATCCTGGACCAGCTTCCAGCAGCTCACTGCTCTCTGGTCCTGGATTATCCTGGACCAGCTTCCAGCAGCTCACTGCGCTCTGGTCCTGGATTAGCCTGGACCAGCTTCCAGCAGCTCTCTGCGCTCAGGTCCTGGATTATCCTGGACCAGCTTCCAGCAGCTCACTGCGCTCTGGTCCTGGATTATCCTGGACCAGCTTCCAGCAGCTCTCTGCACTCTGGTCCTGGATTAGCCTGGACCAGCTTCCAGCAGCTCTCTGCGCTCTGGTCCTGGATTAGCCTGGACCAGCTTCCAGCAGCTCACTGCGCTCTGGTCCTGGATTAGCCTGGACCAGCTTCCAGCAGCTCTCTGCGCTCTGGTCCTGGATTATCCTGGACCAGCTTCCAGCAGCTCTCTGCACTCTGGTCCTGGATTATCCTGGACCAGCTTCCAGCAGCTCACTGCGCTCTGGTCCTGGATTAGCCTGGACCAGCTTCCAGCAGCTCTCTGCACTCTGGTCCTGGATTAGCCTGGACCAGCTTCCAGCAGCTCACTGCGCTCTGGTCCTGGATTAGCCTCGACCAGCTTCCAGCAGCTCACTGCGCTCTGGTCCTGGATTAGCCTGGACCAGCTTCCAGCAGCTCTCTGCACTCTGGTCCTGGATTATCCTGGACCAGCTTCCAGCAGCTCACTGCGCTCTGGTCCTGGATTAGCCTGGACCAGCTTCCAGCAGCTCACTGCGCTCTGGTCCTGGATTATCCTGGACCAGCTTCCAGCAGCTCTCTGCGCTCTGGTCCTGGATTATCCTGGATTAGCCTGGACCAGCTTCCAGCAGCTCACTGCGCTCTGGTCCTGGATTAGCCTCGACCAGCTTCCAGCAGCTCACTGCGCTCTGGTCCTGGATTAGCCTGGACCAGCTTCCAGCAGCTCTCTGCACTCTGGTCCTGGATTATCCTGGACCAGCTTCCAGCAGCTCACTGCGCTCTGGTCCTGGATTAGCCTGGACCAGCTTCCAGCAGCTCACTGCGCTCTGGTCCTGGATTAGCCTGGACCAGCTTCCAGCAGCTCTCTGCGCTCTGGTCCTGGATTATCCTGGACCAGCTTCCAGCAGCTCTCTGCACTCTGGTCCTGGATTAGCCTGGACCAGCTTCCAGCAGCTCACTGCGCTCTGGTCCTGGATTAGCCTGGACCAGCTTCCAGCAGCTCACTGCGCTCTGGTCCTGGATTAGCCTGGACCAGCTTCCAGCAGCTCTCTGCACTCTGGTCCTGGATTATCCTGGACCAGCTTCCAGCAGCTCACTGCGCTCTGGTCCTGGATTAGCCTGGACCAGCTTCCAGCAGCTCACTGCGCTCTGGTCCTGGATTATCCTGGACCAGCTTCCAGCAGCTCTCTGCGCTCTGGTCCTGGATTATCCTGGACCAGCTTCCAGCAGCTCACTGCGCTCTGGTCCTGGATTATCCTGGACCAGCTTCCAGCAGCTCTCTGCGCTCTGGTCCTGGATTATCCTGGACCAGCTTCCAGCAGCTCTCTGCGCTCTGGTCCTGGATTATCCTGGACCAGCTTCCAGCAGCTCTCTGCGCTCTGGTCCTGGATTATCCTGGACCAGCTTCCAGCAGCTCACTGCGCTCTGGTCC